TGAATCATTGGAACTTTTTTAAAGTGATAATCAATACATCAATTATTGATATAAAACTCAACCGATGGAAAAGTTCATATTGATTTTTGATGTAAACCTTACAGCAAAAACAAATGCGTAAAAATATAGATCAAGAATAGAGTTTTACGCCAATTCGTATTTACATTGAAAACAAACGTGAATAAACGCAAAGCGACTATAGACTTTTACGTTAATTTGCATTTACACCGCAATCAAACACAGCCTTACTTCAAATTTAATTTTCAATTTTTCTACATTTCTTTTGATTTTTTTATTCTTTTCTTGATTTACATTACTATATATGATTTTGTTGGTTGCTATATTTTTTACTAGGCATGAGTGAGCAGTGATGTAAATTACAAAGAAATGCGTGCCCATCACAGTAAATTGGCTATCTAATAATAAATACGTAAGGAACTATTTAAATATAAAAAATAGTTAAGGAATATCTCGATATGTACAAAAAAATAATGGAGGTGGGGATTGCCGGATTGGATCAAACATATCGGAAAGGGGAAAGGTTCTTAACGTAAATAAGTTAGGGAAGAAGGGTATCTTTGTCAGTGGAACTTTCCTATAATTGAATGCAGAGAGAGAGATGGCCGTACTTGGCGCCCTGTGGATTTCACGATTTCAATGCTCCGTTGGCCCCGTTTCTCTCGTAACGCCTGTACTAGCCATTAGCCATGTTTCAACGGCTCGGCTCGGCTTGGCTGCGCTCAACACGGCTTGGCTGACTTCTTTAGCCGCGTAACCTCTCTCTCTCTCTCTCGTATGCAGCATCCAGCATGTACTGATTAGAGCTCTCAATTTTATGCGGGTAGGGGAGGGGACGTTTCGTGCAAGTTGAAGTTGGACCATAGTCGGGCCGGCTGAATCCTAGTTTCAAATAATACGGATAATTTAGAGTCCAATTGAAACCTGGGCCCATAAAGGTCAGGCCGGCCCACTTTGAATTCAAAAATATACTACCTAAATAAAACATATATTGTAGAAAATAGAAATGGGGTTTCAGGTTTTCATTTCACACAGTTTCTTTATGGGCTGAGATGCACATCCATTTCATTTAATGGGCATCTCTAAATTAACTCATTCTTTGAGTACTTGCATCCACAAGTTTATAATTTCAGCGACAAATCATGGCTCTAGGGATATTGCATGCATACAATAAATTTGTGATTCATCAAAGTCAAAAATCTGCTGTGTTCAATCTTCAAAGGATCAACCTCTGCCAATAAGTACTTAACTTTAAAACTAACTTTAACTATTTCCTTGTTTCAAATGGAGTTGTTTGGAAATTTCTCACTTTGAAATATTTTAGATACTCTTTTCTCCCTTTTTAGAATGAAAACATTTTGTTTTAAATCCCTTTCACCAATGTTTTAAAAGCCAATCCGAAAATCGAATTGGTTTCCGTTCAGTGGTTCGACAATCTAATTTGAATGGATCAACTCATGACATTATTAAATATTTAAAAAATAAAAATTAATTATAAAATAAATTTAACCCCCCAAAAATGTTGTTTAGGTCGAACGGTTTAGCAGTTCAATGATCAGGATCAATAGTTCATTGACTGATTCAATGGCTTTCTAAGAAAATCCAAGCCAGGTGCTAAATAGAACCAGATTGGTGACCACTTCCTATATTGAGTGGTTCAACTGCCCTGATCAACAACGGCTTTAAATCCATTCCTTTTGCATCAATTATAGCTTGCATGGCCTGTCCTATTTTTATTTCAAAATTTTGAAAATATTTATTTCAGCTAAAAAAAAAGTTTTAGGAATAAAAGTATAGGCAAATGCCTCAAGCCCTCAACCCTTTTGTAGGTCTTGAAAAACAATATTTGATTGAGTTCTTGGAGTAAATCTCTCCTTTGAACCTAAAGGCTTGATGTCAAAGTGATGGTATGCAACAAGATTTAATATTGGTCATGTACTCATGCTATGCTTGTTTGATAGAAAATAAGAGTGAAACATAAAAGTTGAGGGGACTCATTTTCTAGCAAGCCAAACACAGCCTCAAGGAATGTTAGTAGAGTTGGTTAATTCTATAAGATTATAACCCCCTACACCTATCTGGATGGGTTTATGCTTCTAATTAGGTCTAAGGTTATGAAGATTATTATGTTCACAATCCTTTATATTGTATTTCCATGAATATTTTTAAGTGCACTTTTTTTTTATAAATTTCAACTGTTTCCACTTGTTGTTATTCTTTTCTCTTGATTCCTTAAGCCTCAGTATTCTAAGTCCCAATATGTTCCTAGTTTGCAATGAAAATCGTTTCATATAATAATAAAGTAGGGGTAATTCATTTCATGGATTTGTTAACTCTATCTCCAAAAAAGCTGCAAATAATTTTATCAAGGCAAATCTCAGGACAAACTCAAAACTAGACGACTTCCTTGGCAAAGTCCACATGCTAGGTTAATTTCAAATTCAAAATTTAATGAGTTGATGGTATGCTACACAATTTGATAAATGAGAGGATCGATATTCATCCCTTTTGTTCGGATAGCATAGGCTTTTTAATCAAAACCCACCCATAAATTTTGATAAATAACACCTGATTGGGTACAATGTTTATGATTCCAATTGATTGGTGAGAATTTTTCCGATATCATATCTTTTTGATATCATAGTCGAACCCTTGATTAATGTAAAAAAGGATAGACCATCTATAAATAGATAGCATGCCATAAACTCCATAAGGCTACGTTTGGTTCGAAAGAAAAATAGGGAAAGGAAGAGAAAGATAGGGAAACCTTTACAAACCTTGTATGAGTTTCCCTATCTTTCCCTACTTTTTCCTTCAAACCAAACATAGCCTAATGGATCAATGGGTAGAAAGGGGGAAACCACCCTCGGACGTTGCTTTGTTTATGTTTCGAAAATCAATAGACGTACACATGTACCTTTGCATCTTCTTTAGAATCGGGAAGAGATTATTAGCTAGCCACTTGGGATTATGCGAGATAAAATATGGGTTTTATATCTTCTATATGATCTCCTCTTCAATCTGATAAGTTGGATTGTATTATCTTTTTCATTCCATTGACATCTTCCATTCATAGACCCATGGCATTCTATGAATAAGCATGTTTCTACTTACCCTAAAATATCCTTGTAGATCAGCCAAAGATGGGTTCAGATCTGTTACCCATTAGCTGTTTCCATCCCCTACCCATGAAATGTTATAGCTGCACATTGAGAATATCTCTCTTGTCATTCATGGGAGATGTTCCCAATACACGGCAGTGGTGTTCAGTGGGTAGGGATGTGAGAATAGTTTATGGGTAACAGATTGAGAGTTGGCCAAGACACCCTTATATGCCCAAATGAGTTTAAATAGGCACAAACTCAATTTATCATGAAAAAAAAGAAAATTTTAAGTTAACTCCACCTATCTACCAAAACTGATATGTGAATTATAAAACAGTTCTGATTCAATGATGAAAACTTCCAAAACACTCTATATTCTCCTTATATATAGTTTGCAACTGCTTCACTTAATTGACCTTCCATCAAGAACTGTTTGTATTATTGTTTTGGAATGATAAAGTGACTTGTTAAAACAAGTAGAAAATGTGAAAGTACATAGGCCCAAGGTTTTTTTTAATTTCAAAAATACCCCTATCAGTTCTCATATATTAATCACTTTTTAGAAACAAAAACTAAGGGCAAAATCACTATTTTGTTTTCTATTTTTTGCTTAATTTGGTCAAACAGATGCTAGGGTAAAAAAAGTCATTTTTACTCCTATCTAAGAAAAACAATGATAAGTAAAATGGTTGCAAACTAAAGGGTAAGTTTTAGTAAACATGGGAAACTATATGGGATGTCCATGTAAATGACCAAAACAAACTAACTGCAATCCATATTTGGCTCCAATTGTTTATGCACTTGATTATTTGCCAAAAGAAAACAATTCAATTTGGATGATGTGCTCTACAAGTGTCAAGTGTTTAAGAAAATAACAACAAATGCACATTTTGTAATGGAAGGTTGTCAATTACTATCCAAATTTGAGGTTACAGTCATGCAAAGGCCCTTAGGTTGATTTGGAATATGGTTCCACCATAGGAAAAAGAAGGGGGAATTGCTTCTGGTTCATGCTAATAAAACTATCATCAAAATTAGCAAGAACAAAAAAGAAGAAAAAAAGTGTAGCAATAAACCATTTCAAAATGCTAACTTGCTTAGTTGGTAAAGTTTGTGACCAAAGATATCTAAAATAGAAAACCATCATCACCACAAATTTTAGTTTGCAAACTACTTGATCAATGGTCATACATCCCCAAACCCAAAGAAAAGGAGGAAAAAAAGAAAGGATAAAGATTTGGTTTGATAAAATATAAGAGGGGTTCGATTATTGATGCCGGACAGACATGAAACCGGACAAACTTGTAACCAATCAGGTGGGTTTTCATAAAAAATTCATGCGATTTTGATTGTTTTTTTTATGAATTTTAGAGTTGAGGGAAATTTTCTAATAAATTTTATGAAATTCCTTAAAAACTTTTCCTCACCTGTTTTGTTTTTCTATTATTTTTATGTGAAACCAAACACAGACCAACCAAGGTAAGATAAATACTCATAATTGTTGAACATTCATGCAAGACAACCCTAATATTCTCAGACACGCACTCATCCTCAGCTATTCTATTCGCGTCTGTTTTTTAATCAATATCTACTCGAGCACAGCCACCAGCTCAGTTATGTAAATGAGTCCATATTCGAAATGGGTCTTCTGGGGACAATTCCTAAGTCCTAACTATTGGGGCCCATCAGAAAGGATATTATTATCCGAGCTCTTGGGCCAGAAAGCCGAAAAAGCTAGTGGCTCCGATGCCTGAGAGCCACAAAGCCCACAAGCCGTGTAAATGCACTGTAGCAACGAGCCAACAACCTCTATAGACTGTAGTTTATATATTTCATCATTTCCGAAACAAAAGTAGGGGAGAGATTGAAGTCCTCTGTCTGGGTTTTGTTTTCAAGTATTTTTAAGTCTTTCTTTTCTCTCTACTGTCTTGTCTGACTGTCTTTTTCTCATGTAACCCAGGCTTCTCCACTGGCCAAAAACAAATACTTAAGCAGTCTTTCATATCAGCCCCTATCTCTCTCTCTCTATTGCAAAGATATATAGAGTTCACAGGAAGTTTCGGTCTTCGGAAGAGTCTTTACAAAACTTCCCCCACAAACACTCACCTTACACAGCGATCAATCCTAGACACTATTAAACCCACCCACCCAGGCCAAGCGAAACAAGACCCTTCTCTCTCTCTCTCTCTCTCTCTCTCTCTCTGTCCTCCATGGACTACCATCTGAAGCAATGGAGAAATCTGCATGAGTCAGAAGAACCCCCTTCTGCGAAGATACCAAGGCTCCTCCTTGAACCGCATCAGCAACCTTCTGGGTCTGCTCTCCCGTTGTTTGTACCTGAACCTAACAGTAGGATCAGCAACCTGTCAGCATTCCCAGATTCAACGACTACTACCAGATTTCCAAGTGAGTTATTTTTTTTTTCTCTTGCCGTCCTTTCTTTCTTCTCTCCACCTCCTGTAGTGACAGGAAATTTTATTCCGCATATGGAAAGGCTATGTGTTGTTTCCAGACTCGCTCCTTTTGTTCTTTATTTTCTTTGATGGTTTCTCTTTTTATCTGCATTTGCTTAGGGATGGGAGGTTATTTCAGCTTGGCGCAGTGGCAGGAACTTGAACTTCAGGCCTTGATTTTCAAATATATGTTGGCTGGCGCTGCTGTTCCTGCTGAGCTACTTCAGCCCATAAAGAAGAGTCTCCTCGGTAGTTCTGCATGCTATCTTCAATACCCATATCAGCAGTATCAGCACTATCAAACAGCAAGTAAGTTTCAGTTTTTATTTTCATTGTTCGACCTTTCTTTACATCCCAAGATGTTATTTTGCTTTTCTGTCTAGCATTTCGTGTTTTTTATTTTTTTTTGCTTTCGTCTTTTATTTGTTGTTCTCATTTATCAACTTATCTCTCTCTTTTTGATTGATTTGGTATTTAGTTTAGTTTTCCTTCTTGTTTTTGTCTTTCTTGTTGTTGCAGTGGTCATTGTCATTTTCTCCTCTGAAATAAGCTCTCTCTCTTTTCCATAGAAGTTGTTTTATGGGCATACTTCTCTCACATCAGATTCTAGATGCAGTTAAACTACCTCTATGGCCTATTCTGTTGACCTTCTAATGGTGATTTTATCCTGATTAGCTCTTGATGTTTTATTTAAGTTCGTTTCTTGTCCGTAGCTTCTTCGTTCGATCGTTTTGTGTTACTGGTCTCTCTGTAGGCTCCTTTTCTGTGGTGTGATCCTGCTCCTTTCATGTATTGGGTGTAAAAATTTGCAGACTTTTCTAACATAAGAAGGCACAATCTGAAATGGGTTTTTTCTTAAACTTTTATAGATTGATTGTATTCTGGAGGCTGGTGACTTTTGTGTTAACTTTATTGGTTTTATTGGTTTTATTGATCTGTTTGCTGATGCAACCGTGGGGTTTCGGCATGTTGGCGCAGTGTTACAGTCTGGGTACTGGGGAAGAAGTGTTGTGGACTCGGAGCCTGGCAGATGTCGGAGAACCGATGGAAAGAAATGGAGGTGCTCAAGAGATGTGGTGGCTGGCCACAAGTACTGCGAGCGCCACATGCACCGAGGCCGAAACCGTTCAAGAAAGCCTGTGGAAATCCCCACACCTGCCACTGCCACAGGTGGTGGATTGAACGATACAAACACGAACCCTGTTGCTGCTTCGCCCTTGACAGCTGCGGTGACCGGTGGTGGGACCCATTTCGCCCTTGCAGGGTCATCCCCTTCGATCAATCTCTTTCAACAACTCAATCAAAGCCAGAGGTATTCTTTAATTTCTTATTTCATCTCTGTTCCAACGGTAGTAATCTTGCTTCTTGTGGGTTTGAAACTTACAAAATTCAGACACCCATGACCCATCATTTGATTTCATCCATGTTTTAACTTGAATCACCATGGATAAAACTATAAAAGGGTTCGACTTTTGTTGGGAAGCGAAGGAACAACTAGGTTTAGTTATTCACTTTGGTTTACGGATTGGAATGTATGTCTAGAATCTGGTGTGAAGCTACATTTGGATCCAGTAAATTTTTTTTTCTTTTCTTTTGGGTGTTGGGGAGGGGGGGGGGGGTGTTGTCAAATGGCAATGGAGTTACGGTTGATTGGATGAAAGCTCAGTACTCAGTTGAGCTGAGCTGACCCGAGTTGAGTTGAATTGAATTACTGTCTACTGAGGACAATGGTGGGTTTCCTCTCCTATGAGACCCAGTTGCTGTTAATCCGATTTTTTATTCATTCCATTCAAAAGTAGTGACTCGGCTACAGTTTGTATTATCTTTAAAGACCCAGCTGTAAGTATAAATAGTGGACCCTTGACAAGTACATGTACGAACCAGGTTCACTGTGTAGGAGCGGCCATAGCTTATTAGCTTGGTGGGTTCTAGCTCTAGCAGGTGAGATATCCACCAGCCCCAAGGTTGAGTCTAATCATGGAATCTTCCAGCCTTCCTTTATCTAGATCTTTTGGCTCAGCGGTTCCTGATGTTCCAAGAAGAATGCGAGAGACATTGGATGCTTAGAATCATCTGTGACTAGGTTGATTTGGCCCACCTGGGTTTCCTTGGGTGGGGGCCAGTCGGCCAGCTGAATGGTTTGGTCGGCCTGGCGTGCTGCACACAGCAGCGGATACCTTGGGCATCTGTAATGCCTTCATGTCAAATTTGAATGAGCAACTGAGAAACTACCCCGGCCCTTCTTTTCCTAAAGCCAGGAACTGCTCTATGGTCTGTAATTGTACTACTTACTGCTTTTTGCTTTTGATGAAAATCTAGGAAAATGGCTTCTTTTTTATCATTTCAAACGTTTATGATTTGTAATCATGTTCTTTTGGTGCTGTGTTTAGATCCTCAGAAGGTGGTATAGTTGGGACTGGAGGTAGGGGTCTGCTGGAAACCCACCAAGACAAGGTTTCTGCAGAGGGGAGAGCAGACGGCAGGATCCTCCGGCATTTCTTTGATGACTGGCCAAGATCACAACCAGAACCAAACAGTGTTGGCTGCAATACCAGTCCAACAACTTCCACCACCTGCCTTTCCATCTCGATTCCGGGGAATGCATCGTCGGACTTCTCTTTGAAACTGTCGACGGGCAATGGGGACGAGCCGGGTTCTCGCAGCGACGGAGGGGACCGGCATCAGATGAACTGGGCATCAGGGTGGGGGACACACCCAGTTGCCTCAATGGGTGGTCCACTGGCTGAGGCACTGCGATCATCAACCTCAAATTCTTCGCCAACAAGCGTCCTGCATGAGCTGCCAAGGGCCTCCGCATCTGAGACAAGTAGTGTTAGCACCTGAATTTAATTCCATTCTTGTATCAAGTTAAACCCCAAGAACCCTTGTGTTCTTTCTCCTGTTTTCATGCTCTGATTTCATGTTTGTTGGTAAGCACTCTGTTGATACTGGGTTTTCTCTTCAGTTTTCACCCTGCTTCACTGGCTTGTAAAAATTGCTTCCATTTGTTTATTTTGATCTTCCTAATTGGCTTGTGGAAAGCTAGAGGTTTTGGTTGATTCAATTGGGTTTCATTTTTTTATTGAAAAAATGTTGGGTTTGGGATTGGGGAGAAGTTTTGTTGCTTTGAAGGAAGCCATGAAGGAGATTGTTAGGCTGCAACATGGACATATCCATTAAAGGGCCCATCTGATGTCAGAGCCCTAATTGACCCTCTATTCTTGGCCATGGTCTCCTTTTCAGCTACGAGGCATGAAGGAAAGCAAATTACTCAATTACCCAGTTGAATTATCCTGGTTCCGGGAATTGGCAAAGTAAGAAGAGAACATCATTCCGATGGATTTATAGGCCCACACCTTTTAATTTTAACTAGGGACCATTTGTTTTGTGTCGCTTTCCAAACAGCCCCCAGTTTCAGTTTGTATCACGAGTATGGGACTGTAGTCGTACCACCCAAGCAATTGGACCATATGTCATCTCCACTCTGTTATACTTCTTTTATTTATTTCTTCAGACTTTTACGGTTCTTTTTTCTCATATTTATCTTCTCTCATCTTTTTTTTTTTGGGTATTTTGTCTTTCCAGTAAAAATCTTCATACAAGATCAATGTCTTGTTTGGACGCAAGTATTGATATGTAGGGGTGTCAATTGGACTGGATTTGGTCCAATCCGATCCAGTCCAATGTAAGTCTATTATAATTGGATCAGGTCCAATCCAATCCAATGAATATTTTGGACTGGTCCAATTCAATGTCTGGATCATCCAATCTGTTCAAATTCGTTTTGATTTAGATTGATTTTAACACAAACCCGGTCCATTGACACTTGTATTCTTATCTTATATCAATGGACCGGATATTGGCTTTAATCCAATCCAATCCAATCCAATATAAATTTATTATGGACAGACCAGGTCCAATTCAATCTAATAAATATTATGGACCGGATTGGCCCAATTCATTATGTCTTGTTGGTCCATCCAATCCATTCAAATTGATTTTGGATTGAATAGGGTCCAATCCAAAACCGGTCCATTGACACCCTTATTAGTATGTATCAGTGTATATTGTACGATATATATTGGTCTTAACTCATAACACTGATACATCAAATACAGGGATTAGGATAGGGTGCAACTTTGGATTTGGATTGGGGTTTTGTCAAAATTTAAATGAACCTGGCCCAAAGGACCAAGTCCAAAGCATTGTTAAATGAATAAATGTAGGATGCTTTGAACTTGGTTGAGTAAACATCAACCTCACAGCACGTTGCTGTTGTGCATTGGAAATATCTTCTCATAAATGATAATATACAAATACGGGAGATGTTCCCAATGTGCAACTTCAAGTGCTGTTTGGTGTGAGCAGACCCGGTCTCTATACAAATACAATGAGCTTCTTGAAATTTGAAAACTGAAATTCTCATTGAGAAGGTTACTTTGGGTTCATTACAAAATCTAGATTTTACAACTTTGACTGAGACTCCAAGTTTCTGAGATTCTCAGAGATTACTTTGGGATCATTACAAAATCTAGATTTTACAACTTTGACCGAGACTCCAAGTTTTCTGAAATAGTAAACTCGCTAAGAATGGTAAATTTCACCCAAATGAGCCGAATAACTTCAAATCCTAATTCAACCTTTTTCAACACTCGTTAAAAATGGTAAATTTTCAAAAATGACCAACTTCAAGTGCGTGAAAGTAAAATTTGAATTCATACCAATTCCTAAAATAGGAAGTCATTGGGGGGAGGGGGGGGTTGGTCACTAAGAAACTAGTTCCTATTGATTCGTAATTATAGGACTTATGGTAAAGTTATTTTTCTTGGTTATCACTTACATGGTTAAGTGAGATCCATCTCGTAAGTGGGTACGTAAATTCTCCATTTATGGGGAAAATTTACAAAACATAATAAGACAAGCTTATCCATTCTAACAATGACTTTTTTATGAATTCAGATTAGCTGAACGCTTTATCTGTCCATCAGATTGTGGAATCAATGATGAGGTTCTACGTCAGTAATAAATTCATGGATCCCACTGTATAACTTACCTAAGAATCAAAAGAACATGGGTAGGTAAACTTATCCATGTAAGTGTTTTGTATAAAACATTTACTTGAGGAGTCCGGCTTCAGTCAGTGGAAGTTCCGTTCACACATCATTCGTACATTGCAAGGATGCAGCATGTGTCCTTCCACACATGCAATGTCTAAATCCGTGCGAGAGGAGAGTAAATGGCGTTTAGCTCTCACAACCCCTTTTCATTCTCTCCCTCTCCTACTGGTGGCGACGAAGCGCATCACCGACAACAAACCATCAGGTATCGAATTTTTCCTTTTCTTTCTTTCCCAATTGTGACTGACAACTGTTAACACCTGGGAGCTTTTTTTTTCTCTCCAAAGTCATTTCATAATCGAGTAATTTTAGTTCTAAAGCTTATTTCATGCAACAAGAGCTTTGTTTTTTTTCTTTGATTTTGAAATTTTATCTTAATCAAAAGATGGAATTGTGAAAATATAACATTAGACATGAAGTACATAAATGTTGTATCTGGTAGTATAAATTCCATTAGGTAGGAGACAATGGTTGGTTGTCGATTGGATAGGGAGAGAGTGAATAGGGGTATTTAGTTTTGGAGAGAGTGATTTGGGAAAGAATCAATACCTGATGGTTTGTTGTTGATCACCAGTGTTAACAATCGCTAGTGATGTGCTTCGTCACCGCCGCTAGGAGAGGGAGAGAACGAACAACAGAGGTTCAGTGGTTTTGGAGAGAGAAAAGCGGGAAGGGAATTGATTTCAATCAAAAAATTATTAAAAATTTGGAATCTGAACTAAATACTTGGCTAAAGAGGGAGGAAATGATGTGGCTTCAAAAATCAAGGGTGAACTGGCTGCAATTTGAAGATAGAAATACTAAGTTCTTTCACTCAATTGCAAAAGGCAGGAGCAACAAGAATAAAATAATGCATCTAAAGAAAGATAATGGGGAATGGGCAACTTCGGAAGAGGAGGTAACGATAGAATTAGAACATCATTTCCAAAATTTGTTCAAATCCTCCAACCCAAGTTTCCAAGATGAGTTTCTTAATAGTGTTGTTCCTAAATTGAGTGAGCAGGATCGAGAAGCTTTAGAAAGTGACATAACAGATGAAGAGATATGGGAAGCTTTGTTTCAAGTGGCCCCAAGGAAAGCCCCTGGTCCGGATGGCTATCCAAACCTATTTTTTTTCAAAAATTCTAGGGGATAGTAGGAGATGATGTGATTAGATCTGTCAAGAATTTCTTTGTAACTGGAAATCTGCTAAGGGAATTCAATGAAACTTACATAACTCTGATTCCAAAATAAAAGAATCTTGAAGAGGCATCCCATTATAGACCCATAAGCCTCTGCAACTCAGTGTACAAGATCATTGCAAAAGTCTTGGTTAATAGAGTCAAACCTCTTTTAGGTCTTCTGATTAGTAAGAACCAAAGTGCCTTCACTCCAGGTAGATACATCCAGGACAATATTCTAGTAGCATAAGAGGTAATTAATTTCATGAGAAAAACTAGAGGTAGAACTCCTTGGATGGCTCTCAAGCTTCATATGAGTAAGGCCTATGACAGGGTGAAGTGGAGTTTCCTTGAAAAAACAATGCAGAAGATGGGCTTTGGAGAAAAGTGGGTCAATTGGGTTATGAAATGTGTAACCATAGTCTCATACAGAGTTATGGTAAATGGAAACCCTAGTAGTAAATTCTATCCGGAAAGAGGGCTTAGACAGGGAGATCCCCTGTCTCCATATCTGTTCTTATTTTGCTCAGAAACTTTGTCTACTAAACTCATAGAGCTTGCTTCCCAAAAGAAGATTTATGGTATTTCAATCATCAGAAATTGTCCAACTATCTCTCACATATTTTTTGCAGATGACAGTTACATATTTTCTAAAGCAGAGTTGGGGGATGGGCAATGTATTTTGGATGCTCTCAAAACCTATGAGGGGGCCTCCTAGCAGTAGGTAAGCTTTTCAAAATCTGAGATTTTTTTAGTAGAAATTGACACAATAAACTCCAAAAAATGATGGCCAGATTTCTTAAAATGAGGAAAGTAGAATCCCCTTCTATCTACTTGGGTCTACCTACAAAAAATGGTAAATAAAAAAAAAGCCCTTTTCAATTTCCTAATTGAAAGAGTCGGAAAGTTATTGCCCAAGTGGCATGAATCTGTACTCTCTCAAGCTAGGAAAGAAACTCTACTAAAGGCTATAGCTAATGCCATTCCAAATTATACCATGTCTTGCTTTTTGCTCCCCAAAGATGTTTGCAATGAACTGAGAAGAATACAAACCAGATTCTAGTGGGGTGGTTCTAAAGAACATAGGAAAACCCACTGGGTAAGTTGGGAAGTTCTCAACAAAAATAAGTTTGCAGGAGGGTTAGGGTTCAGAGATTCGCATAAATTTAACCATACTCTCCTAGCAAAACAAGCTTGGAGGATTTGTATTGATGAAGACAATCTTTGGGTGAAGATTATCAAGGCTAGATATCTGAAAGGAAAAAGTTTTCTAACTGATAAGCTTCCAACTAAGGGCTCTTGGGGGTGGCAGAGTATGTTAGCAGTAAGAGAGGTCCTTCAAAAAGGGGCCTGTTGGGCAATTAACTCAGGAACCAAAGTTAATATATATAATATATATCTAAGTTGGTTCGGGTTGGATCGGACCGGGTTGATCGGTTTGGGTCTTGTTATGAACAGCCCTTGATGAAATCATAACCTTTGATGTCCTTGAATTAGATGAAGTGATGTGAAAATGATGTTGTAGCAAAAATGACAGGGTTACAACGAATTTAGATTACCTGAACGCTTTGGCTGTTAAGTGGGCTGTGGAACAAATGATGAGGTTCCATGCCATTAATAAATTCATGGGCCCCACTATAAAAGATGTGGGTCCTATGTATTTATTATTGGCGTGGAACCTTATCATTGGTTCCATAGCCCGCTAAACAACCAAAGCGTTTAGATAAATCTTTCTCGCCTACAACACCTCTTGGATAAGATGATTTGTAAATGCCAAATGATGAAGTGGGTCACATCTACCACCAGTAATCTCCAAAATAGAAGACTAACAGTCAGCAACAATACAATAGAAGGTAGGTCTTAGGCATAATGGGGCTGCTAATATAGTAATATTATTGGCTTTTCAACGTATAAATGTCACCACATCAGCACCACATAAGCATTTTGAGTTCTGAGTTGAATGGTCAATTTTTTGTTTGGCTGAACTGTTTTGAGTTAAAGTAGTCGTAAAACATTTTGCATGGAAATCCATGTGAAGGGGTGTTTCAAGAAACATGGAATTTTCTGAGAAGCAAAGTCTCAGACATCCTGACTAGTGAATGATTTACCACTGTCCACTGACATGGAGTAAAAATACATTCTTCACAAAAATTGGATTAAGTACAAACATTAGTGTTTGTATTTCAATCAATATCATTGGGCCAAAAATCAACTTCTACACAAGCTTCTGACCCTCTAAAATTGTATTTAGATTCGTGTAGAAAAAAGTCTTCTGCTTTTTCCCCCAAGTAGTTCTACCGATAATGTTAAACTAGTTTAGAGGGATCAGATTGGCTGGAGACAAAATCATACACAGCGGGCTGGGCAATTTATCATGAGTGAACATGCCAGTGCTTCATGCACATAAAGTGTAGGCCCCATGTTTTAGTTCAGATATGCTACCAACAAAACGCTCCCAATTAGTCCAAACAAGCGACTACAGCCACACATTGGAACCATCTTCCCATGAATGATAAGGGAGATATTTCCAATGTGCAGTTGTAGTGGCCTGTTGGGAGTGTTTTGTTGGTAGGAGATCCTTGCCCCTCATGTTAATGGAATACTGACATGTTCACTCGTGATAGGTTGCACAATTTACTGTGTATGATTTTGTCTTAGGACAATTCGGACTCTGGTTGAGAGCAAATGAAATTGATTTGTCTAGCAGAAAAAAAATAAAGGAAAAAACAGGTTTATAATACAATCATAAAAAATAGGACAGGTGGCAAATTATGGGGCCCAAAACCAGTCTCAAATTTTGAAAAATATATATGGTCTCTGACAATAGTTTTCACTGATTGACTAGAAATGAAGGCCTAGGATGGTGTTTGATAACTGCTCAAATAAGAGGTATAGCACAGACCCAGTTCAAAGTCCAAACAAAAGGTTACCCTGATTGATCTACCTAGGTTGGGTTCTGGTAACTTTTGCTGAGCTGTGGATCCAAATCAACTCTAATCTGGAATACAGAACAAAAGAATTTCAGGGGGCGTTATTTTTTCGGATTTTGAGAGGGGGGAAAGTTGGTCAAAGGGATTTTGGTTCCCATTGACCAAGAATCTCATGTTCTTTTTTCAGATTTATGTGGGGTTCAGGAAAAGTTTATTTTCCTGGGTATCACTTACCCGTAAGTGAAGTGATACCCATATTCTAGGTGGGTAAATAACTTTGCCACTTAGGCCCCATTCGCTTTTCAGTAAGTTATTTACCCGAGTAAATGCAATTACCTGGGTAAGTTTTTCCTGGGAAACACTTACCCAGGTAAGTGCATTTACCCATGTTCTTTTATTTCTTAGGTAAATAAGGTAATGACCATTTTAGTCATAAAAATATTCTATTATTAAAAGGGGCATTTTTGTCCCATTCAAGTGTTAGCTGCTTTCCTCTTAGATGGGAAAGTTATTTATCCACCTAAGAGATGGGTATCAGGTAAGTAATACCTAGGAAAATAAACTTTCCTTGATCCCCACATTAATCTAAAAAATGAACATGGGATTCTTGGTCAATGGGAACCAAAATCCCATTGACCAACATTCCCCCGTCCTAAAATCCAAAAAAAAAAAAAAACGCCCTCTTAGGGAAAAGTTGTCAACACTTGAATGGGACAAAAATGCCCTTATTAATAATGAATTTTTATGACTAAAATGGACATTGCCTTATTTACATGCAAAATAAAAGAACATGGGTAAATGCACTTACTCGTTACCGAAAAACAAACGGGGCCTCAGGGTTAACTTGGTTAGGCCCAGTCCACGCTACACTGCTTAATTCTCTCTAATGGCTTAGTTTGGAAAAATACATACAAAATACAAGGTTTTGCATGGGGAAAAATTTGCAACTTTGACTTCACCCTCAATTTATCAATGTTTGTAGTTTATTTCCACCCTGACCTTGTAAGAGTTGGGCTGGGCTATTCCATGGGCCGCAATGTTTTTTTAGATTGGAATTAGAGGGATTTTGGCCCATGAAGTGCTTTTCTTTTGGGCCACTCGAGTTTCGCTTGCCCTAAGGCACCTGACCTGACCCGCGCAAATTCTCTCGTTTGATTTAACTTAACGAACTTTCGGAAATCACAAGAACTATCAACCAACTTCTCGACGGTCGTTCAATCCTTCTGCGATTTCTTTCAACTTTGAAGAGTTGTACAGGAATCTTCTCAGATGTAGCTCCAATAATGATCAAGCATTCAAGTCGTCGAGCATTTCATTCCCTTGCCACAAAACCTACTGAATTTGCCCCGATATCCTCTGCTAAACCAGCAATTTGCCATAACTACTCTCGCCTCCTCCGTTCTTGCAAAGATTTGAAGTCTCTCCTACAACTCCATGCACATTTTCTGGTTTCAGGAGCGCAACTAGATGATATCACGCATACGCAACTTGTGAACTCATACTCGTTGTTTCGTAAGCCAGAATTGGCTCGCTTGGTTTTCGACTCTGCATCAAATCCCAGTGTTATTTTGTGGAACTCCATGATTAGAGCTTATACGAAAAGCAATCAGAACAGAGAATCTCTCGAACTGTACCACTATATGTTGAAACGCCTTATAAAACCAGACAAATATACCTTCACTTTTGTTCTAAAAGCTTGTACTGGAGATTCCAACTTGGAAGAGGGTGTTCTCGTTCACCGTGAGATAGCTAAGAGAGGTCTGGAGTCCGATGTGTTTGTTGGGACTGGTTTGATTGATATGTACTGCAAATTGGGTGACAGCAGAACTGCACAGGATGTGTTCGATCAGATACTTGAATTGGATGTTGTTGCATGGAATGCAATGATTGCCGGACTCTCTCAGAGTTCTAATCCTCAAGAAGCCTTGGTTTTTTTCCGGAAGATGCAATTGACGGGGTTGCAACCCAATTCAGTAAGCTTGCTGAACTTGTTCCCTGCTATCTCTCGGTTATCAGCTCTTTTGTTGTGCAGATCTGTTCATGGTTTTATAGTTAGGAGAGAGTTTCCATCTGTTGTTTCAAATGGGTTGATTGATTTGTACTCGAAGTGTGGCAATGTTGATATTGCTCACCAGGTTTTTGACCGTATGCAAGGCAGGGATGATGTTTCATGGGGAACGATGATGTCTGGTTATGCTCATAATAATTGTTTCATTGAGGTACTGGAGTTATTTGATTACTTGAAAAGAGGAAATTTAAAGCTGAATCAGGTATCAGCAGTGAGTGCGCTTTTGGCTGCAGCTGAGATAAAAGATTTAGAGAAAGGAGAAGAGATCCATGATTATGCAGTCCAAGAAGGGATTGATTCGGATATTTTGGTTGCTACACCCCTTATGACCATGTATGCAAAGTGTGGTGAACTAGAGAAGGCTAAAAACCTTTTTGATGGCATCTCCGGAAGGGATATAGTTACTTGGTCTGCAATGATGGCTTCTTTTGTCCAAACAGGACATCCCAAAGAAGCATTGTCTCTATTTCAAGAAATGCAGGAAGGAAATCTTCAACCAAATAGGGTAACTTTAGTGAGTATCCTTCCAGCTTGTGCAGAGCTGTCTGCTGTGAACTTGGGGAAAAGCATTCACTGCTATGCTATAAGAGCTAGTATTGACTTGGATGTTTCCATGGGAACAGCCCTAGTGGCCATGTATGCTAAGTGTGGATTCTTTACCCTGGCACATGTTGTCTTCAACGAGATGCCATATAAAGATGTAGTAACATGGAATGCTTTAATTAATGGGTATGCTCAAATTGGTGATGCACACCATGCATTGGAAATGTTCCATAAGATGCGCTTAGCAGGGCTTTCCCCAGACTCTGGAACCATGGTTGGAGTTCTTCCAGCTTGCGTTCTCTTGGATGCCCTAGATCAAGGCAAATGTATTCATGGGCAAATTATCAAGAGTGGGTTTGGGTCAGATCTCCATGTAAAAAATGCTCTCATTGATATGTATGCCAAGTGTGGAAGCCTTACCACAGCCAAATTCTTGTTTGGTGAAACTGAATTCACCAAAGATGTGATATCCTGGAATATAATGATTGTCGGGTACTTGCAAAATGGATATGCTAAGGAAGCTATATGTGCTTTCCACCAGATGAAATCAGAGAACTGCAAGCCCAATTTAGTAACAATAGTTAGTGTTCTCCCAGCATCAGCATACTTGGCAGCTTTGAGGGAAGGTATGGCTCTTCATGCCTACACAGTGAGGACAGGATGTGAATCTAACACACTCGTCGGGAATAGTCTCATTGATATGTATGCTAAATGTGGGCGGCTTGATCTTTCAGAGGATTTTTTTGATAGAATGAGCAACAAAGACACTGTGTCATGGAATGCAATGCTTGCAGGTTATGCTATACATGGACATGGAAACCATGCCATCACACTTTTCTCACAAATGAAAGAGAGCTGTGTTGAGGTTGATTCAGTATCATTTGTCTGCACCTTGTCTGCATGCAGACATGGAGGTTTAATAGAAGAAGGGAGGAAGATATTCAATTCCATGAGCTCCAGATTTAACATTCAACCAGAATTAGAACATTATGCTTGCATGGTGGATCTCTTAGGCCGTGCAGGACAATTAGATGAAGCTTGGAATTTTATCCAGAGAATGCCAATGGTACCAGATGCTGGGGTATGGGGGGCCTTGTTGGGTGCATGCAGAATGCACTCCAACGTGCATTTAGGAGAGGTGGCATTGAATAACCTTGTTAGGCTTGAGCCTCAAAATCCTGCTCATTATGTGGTGCTGTCCAATATTTATGCTCAGTCTAGCAGGTGGGCTGATGTGGGGGAGATGAGAACAAAGATGAACAGTAAGGGGTTGAAGAAAACTCCTGGATGTAGTTGGGTTGAAATCAAGGACACAGTCCATGCATTTAGAGTGGGTGATCAGACCCACCCACAATTAGAAAGCATGAATGAGATTTGGAATGGTTTACTTGATAAAATGGAAAAGATGGGGTATGTTCCAGATACGACTTGTGTGCTTCACAACGTGGAGGAAGAAGAGAAAGAATCATTCCTCTATAGTCATAGTGAAAGATTAGCCATAGCATTTGCTCTTCTTAATACAGGACCTGGCATGACTATCCAGATAGTTAAAAATCTCCGTGTTTGTCCAGATTGCCACACTACCACAAAGCTCATTTCCAAAATCACAGGCAGGAGGATAATTGTCAGGGATGGCAGTCGTTTTCATCACTTTGAGAATGGAGCTTGCTCATGCAAGGATTACTGGTGAAATTGAGAAAATGACATATACATTGATGAAAAAATTGAGAATCACATAAGTTGTTCTTAGAGTAATGCCTCCACAACTGAGAATCACTTAAATGTAGAAGAGGAAGACAAAGAATCATTCCTCTATGATCATGGTGAAATAATAGTCATGGCATTTTCTCTTCTTAATACAGAACCTGGCATGACCATCCAGATGGTTAAAAATCTGTGTTTGTAGATTGCCGAACTACTACAAAATTCATTCCAAAGTAACAGGCAGGAAGATAATTGTCAGGGGTGCCAGTCATTTCCATCACTTGGAGAATAGTACCTTCTCATGCAAGGATTAATGGTGAAATTGAGAAAATCACATATATGTTGATGAAAAAAATTGAGAATTGCATTAAGTTGTTCTTAGAGTTAGAGTGATGCCTCCACAACTGAATTAAATTCTAACATTGGAGATGCTGACTGAATTCAAGTTGAAGCTTTAAATTAACTGTGAGTACATTGCTTCTCTTCTAAATATCAAAGAGGAGACATGAACATGGCACATCTACGTTTGTCATCTTATTTATGATTGTCCACCCATGAAAGGGATGTACAGTGTATATATTCATGCATCTACTAGCCATGACACATGCTTCATCAGATTTTTCATATATATTGCTGTTGAATATGTTATGGGATTGGATCATCATATTGTTGGAATAATAGGCTGATAACAGTGAAGAATTCTATATTCAACTCTCAGGTGCTTTCACTAAGACACTGAGGATTTCTTTAAGTTTTCTGAAATTTATTTTCTTACTGATTTTTGTTGTTGACTACTATATTCATTTTTAAAGCTTATTTCATGAAAATTCAATTGTCTTTTACTTCTGTTTTTTTTTTTAAATCCCTGAAAAATATGGAATGGTATTGTTGCCTACATGGAATGTTTACTATTATGTGAAGGAGGCTTAGGAACTCTGTATTGTAAAGAGATGAAAACACTAACGATTGATTGCTTCTGTTTGGGATTCAATTCTCATGTTTATGTGCAAAGATTTTCATTTGTTGAAAGATCATGAAGTTAAACATAAGGGGAAAAAAAGGAAGAAAGGGAACATAAGTTAATTTCTTGCATCATGCAAATTTCCAGGCAAGAAATTGGAGATTGTTAGCTATTTCATTTGATTTCTTTTCTGTAGTTAACATATCTAACAATCTTAGGCTACTTAAACCCAGTTCAGGTCACTCTAATCCCTCGTCCCACTACAAGGATGCAAGCCAGAATGTGAGCTTTGAACAAATTCTGAGTCTGTTTTATGACTACTGTTATTTTTATTCCAAAATGCCATGGGTTAGATGGGAAAACCACGATGTGTTTTGTAGAATGCAAGGGCTTTTGCCAGAATGTGACCATGCTTGTGTCATTGTCATGTTAAGAAATATGTTTTGGTGTATAGCAGGAAGCCTATATAGGGTTGTCCATATTAGGGTTTCAGCTTATGAATCATGATTTGCATTCCCTTTTCAATGCCTCTTTCGCTGCTCAACATCTTCCTAATAATACGTAAGTTTTGCAGTAGAGAAGAGAATAAATCAACAAAAACAGAAAGAGGTGGTGCTGATATTTGGGAGTTGTTTAAATGCATAAAAATCAGCACATCGGGCTTACTTTAAGATGCTCTTTTTTTCAAGACATACATGCCCTTGTGTATATATATAGTACAGACAGAGACAATGATGATTAATATGATGTGCAACAATTACAGATTTCAAGACATACATGCCCTTGTGTAAAAAAGAGGTGTTCTACAGATTCAGACTTTGTTGTCTCGCAACTCCATTGCCACTTCTCCCCCTCTCCAGGTTTCAAGTACTTAGGCACAATGAAATGACATTGGAAATTAACAACCATGTAGCATAATTGACATCATAGTTTCACTTTCAAGCATTCTCATCAAGAAGTGAGACAAGCACTGTAGCTTCCATGGACTTTTGCCATATCATGGTTTGTTTCAATGTCCTTTTTTTTTTTTTTGAGAAAAAAGGTAACTTTATTAAAAAGGAGGGAGTACATGAGAAGATGTACAAGGATACAGGAAAAGAGTTATCACTAAACAGGTAATCCCTGTGAACACCAGCCTTTGCTAGGCCATCAACTACAGTGTTTAGCTCCCTAGAGATCCAGCCTAAGTGAACATTCAAAGTAGAAGGGATGTCTCTCACTTCAGTCAAGTAGTGAGCTAAAGACCAGGGGCCACTGTCAGGTTCAGCTAACCAATTAATACCGTTAGCAGAGTCTCCTTTTATGGTGAAGTTCGAATACCCGTCTCTTGCTAACCGGATACCGGTTAGGGCTGCCAAGATTTCAGCCTTTGTTGAAGAAGCAACCCCGTTTGGTCCACTGAAAACCCAACTAATGTTGCCATCTCTCCTTCTAAAAACACCTCCAATGTCTGCTTCACCTGGATTACCAAATGCACTTCCATCGAAGTACATGGTTAACTTCTTAAAGTGCGATGGGTAGTGCAGGAAAAATATTGGGAATATAATAAGCTTATCACATTCCTATGAAGATCAGAAATAGAAATTCCTTTAAAATACTCTGAACTGGTGGCCCAAAGGAGGCATCTGTAGGAGATAGTGGAAATGAGCCCCTCCTGGTTTCTTGTTTTGTTGTCAAACACAGGATTGTTTTTCTCTTCCCAGATACTCCAAAGAATAGAATGAGCAACAGATTGCCACAATGCTTTCCCTCGTTTACTGAACCCTCTTCCTGTCCACTATCTTAAGAAGCCTGCAACATGTTCTGGGAAAACCCAGCTATAGTCAAACAGATTAAGAAAGAAGTGCCAAAGCTTCTAGGCTTCAATGTCCAAAATTCCAAAATGAAAAGACTTGGCAATTACCAATTGAACCTATTCTTACATAAATTATAGTTTCTTCTGTAACTAGTAAAAGATCCTATTGAACTCCAAAGTTCTTTATTTCACTGTAGTCTCTAAATGTTGACTTTATGCAAGCACCCATCTCACCTAACATGGCATACACCATGCTCTTCCTATGGATTGAAGCATCCTCCACAAAAGGCTCTGAATCAGGATCACCGAGGTTAACCAGGCTACAACCTGCATCTTTCTGTAATTTTTTCTCCCTCATCATTTTTCTCACCATCTCAACATCATTCCACTTACCTTCTGCAGCATATATATTTGATAACAGCAAATAGGGACCAACATCTCCAGGATCCAACTCAATTAGCCTCTTGCCAATTATCTCCCCAAGTTTAAAATTTGAGTAAGTCCTACATGCTGATAGAAGAGCCCCCCATAAGGCTGGTCCTGCCTCCATTGGCATATTCTCTATGAGCTCTTCAGAATCTTTAATTAGTCCAGCACGACCAAGAAGATCAACCATGCAACCATAATGTTCGACCTTGGGTTCAATATTGTACGCTCTCTGCATAAGATCAAAATACCACCAACCCTCCAATACCATTTGAGCATGGGCACATGCAGATAAGATGCATATAAAAGTAACACCATTTGGAGTTGGCCCTTTCTTCTCCATCTCTAAGAACATCTCAAGGGCCTTCTCTCCTTGCCCATGCATGCCATACCCCATTATCATAGAATTCCAAGAGACTATGCTCCTCTCTGGCATCTTGTCAAAGACTTCCCTTGCAGAGGCCATGTCTCCACACTTTGAATACATAGTCAAGAGAGAGGTTAAAAGTAACACATCAAGTTTAACCTTCCCACTATTTTCTATGTAGGAATGAATCAATTTACCTCTATCTAGCTTACCTAGATTTGCGCACGCAGTCAAGACACTCATGAAAGTTGCTTCATTTGGATTTGTCTCTCCACTTCCCATCATCCTATCAAACAATCTCAGACATTCTCTGTAATCCTTGATTCTCACATAAAGTGCCAACATTGTATTCCAAGAAACAACATTACGACAAGGCATCCGATCAAAAAGCCCACGAGCATCTGGCACCTGCTCAATTCTAGCATATCCATCAACCATACAGTTCCAAGAAACAATATCTCTAACTGGCATCCTCTGAAAAAACTCTTCTGCAGCCTTCATATCCTGAACTCCCGTGTAACCTGCAACCATCGAATTCCAACTCACAATATCTCTATCAGGCATCTTATCAAAAAACCAACGAGCCACACTAACCATGCCATTCTTGGCATACCCATCAATCATTGAATTCCACGTTACCACATCTGTCTCAGGACATAAATCAAACAACTGACGTGCGGCCACAATTTCCCCACAAGCAGAGTACACATGAATAAGCGAATTCTGCACAAACAAGTCGACTTCTAAACCAAATTTCACAATCTGGGCATGTACCCTCTCCCCTTCTCGGATCGAACCAAGCTCAGCACATATCTTATTCAAAAGTGGGAAGGTATAATGATTAGGTGGGATGCATTTTCGTATCATTTGTCCATAATAGAAGCCCAGCCCACTATGTGGGTCGTGGAAGCTCACATAAGCTCTGATTATGGTGTTGCAGAGGAAAGCATCTGGTTCATCTAGGCGAGAGAAGAGAGAGACGGCGTGAGGAACCAAAGATGGGGAGGAGCATAGCTTCTTTATTGCTCGACTGGCCGCGAGTGAGTGCTGGAAGAGACCGGAGACAATGAGTTGGGCGTGCACTTGGCTGAATTCTTCGAGTGTGGCATTGCACGAATCTATAGCGCGCAAGATGGGGTGGCTTAGCTTTAGTGTAGGCAGCCGGAGCCCTTCGTTGTCGATGCATTCTGGATCACATTGGTTCCAGATTCGTGTGTGGGACTTGGAGAGGTTTTGTCGGATTTTGAGGATTTTATCAAGGGAGAAAGAGCTTAGGCGTTTCACAGATTTGGAGGAGTTGGATGATCTAACTGCCATTTCTCACATTTTTGGCGGAAAATTGAAACGTAATTTGTTTAAACTGTGTCAACGGCTCAACGCCGCACCATTTAGATTTAGGATTTAGCAGCCAGCAGGGGTGAACATGGGTTGGGTTGGGTCGGGCCGGTTCCAGGTTTTTGGAACCAGAACCTTCTTGGACTTTTAAGTTTTAAGATGTTAAATGGGACCGGATTTGTCCTCACATCTAGGGTGTCTGGTGCAAATGATATTCGAAAAATCCGATTTTAAATATAGTTGAATCAAATTTGGGTATGATCTTGACTTAATTCAATAAATATCTAAATTCAACCGATTATTTAATTATTATATGATATATAAAATATTTAAACATTTTATATAATTTATATATATCATATTTAAATTATATAAATAATTTATATATTTATATACTTTATATAAATAAACTCAGTACTTTGTTTTTTATTATAGAGAGATGTTCCTAATGCACAGTTGCAGTGTTGTGAGGACAAATTTTGTGACAACCAAATCCGGATTCAACTTAAATCTAGTGTAGCGGTTTAAAACAAGATACATATGGTATTTTTCCCTTTCTGTAGCAATTAGTGAATGACCCCGTACTAAATACGAGGAAATTCTCTGTTATGTATGAAGTTTTATTAATTTTAATGAATATTAATTGTCAGTTATTAATATTAGTTATTAATAAATGAGTAATTGTTATATATCGTTTATATCTTATTCATAATGCAAATTAAAGCATTATTTAGTAATTTAACATTCGCTTAACTATTTTATGAACCGTTTAATTAATTTTTATATCCATTTGAATTGGTATTCTTCATTAATATTTATTAATGATAAATATTTTTTTGAAATATTATTTACCATGAATATATATTAATTTTAACCTTTATAGTTTTATTAATTTTTAATCCATTTTATCAAATATTTTTGTTAGTAATTATTTATCCATTTCAGTGTTTAATTAAGCATCTTTTAATTATTTAATCATTTTGAAATTTTAAATAGATTTATTAATTTATGTTCATTTTATTCCATTTTCATTTTAACTTTTAATCAATGTATGCTTTTTTAATGAATTTTCTATTATTTAATGCAAAATAACAATAAAAATCTATTTATCATCTAATATAATAATGAAATAGAAATTACTGTATTAATTAAATTTTCTTACATTAATTAATCTAGAATTACTTTTCTTAATTTTTCCTACTTTTTATTTCTATTTGATTGTCAGTGAATTAATATTGAATCGGAGGGGTTAACCCCCGAACTGAATATGAAACAGGTCAAAATAACTCATTTATTCGTTTCATCTTCTTCGCCTGTGTAGTATAATAGATGAATGTAGTATTGATATGTAGACTTGAGTAGACTTCCATACACCTTGATCTTTAAGCTTTTAAGCAATATATACCATGTATTCAGCTGTTATAAAGCATACATCAGGCTGTGTCTATATGTGACAGGTAATAACTTTGACTGATTCATACATGGATCCAATGATATATACAACAAAGGAAAAATTAATCCCTACTCTGGATATATTTTTTCAATGCCTGAATTCTCTATAGGGGCCATTACTTTTTTATGAATAGTATAATATCACATCATTAACCAACTAAACTACCCCTCTACTCTAATATTGGATACAAAACTTGAGAACACAAACCATAAAATCAAAATCTTGATACTAACATACATTGCAACTCTTCCTACAATATCCGTGGGAGTCCTCAGAACTAACCTCATTTAGTAAATCACTTCTCACCCTCAAGAACAGGGCAACTACCATGAAAGCTCCTTCGATGGAAATTGAATACAGCAAAAGCATATACTAGTGTGTAAGTTGAAATAGTATATTAAAATACACAGTTAAATTCAATGAAACCCCATCCAACTATCCAAAGTTGACTATGGGAATCCTATTTCCATGCATCGGATCCATCAGTTTGTTGCTTCAGACACCATTGATAGATTGATAGATTGATAGATTGATAGATTGTATTTCAACAAACTGCATTTGCCATAAATAAATGTAGAATAGGACATTAGTGGCATATTCTTTCAGTTCTATGCACTTGAAATTGCACCATGGTCATTCAACTTTCCAAATTCAAGGCATCTGTCAAGTAGGAGGGCTTGACTTTTTTTTCTCCTCTTCTCCCTCTACTCCCTAATGCATTTTCAAACCTCTGATCATTAGATAAGTGGAAGGATTTTATTAAACATGTCATAAAATATGATATGTATAGAGATGTGGCATGGACATGGGTGGGCAATGTATTGGAGATGGAAGTTGGATAAAAAATGGAAGCATCTGACATGACACAAAAGAAAAACCATACAGAGATATTTCACTATTAATTGGCAAAAAAAAATTTGGGCAAATTTTTTAAACCACTCTTATGGTTTATCTAATTGACTAACTCTACCCTTACTATTTACATATTGTCTTAAAGTACCTCTTTGTTTATTAATTCTAACTTATTGAGCACAAGTTCAGCTGAGTTGCACTGGATTAAGTTTAAGCGCCTAAGGTTTGCACCTTTAGGGTTGGGCCTGAGTCGACCTTCGACGCAACAGAGCCTACCTAAGTTAGACTCTAGTCTGGCTTGGACCAACTACAAATGTCATAAGACTCTTTGAAATTAAAAATTAATTAATTTTTCTCGATTAACTTTATTGTTATTTACTACCAAGGCTCAAAAAAGAATTACATATCGGGGCCTTTCCAATACGCCCCTACAAGTGTTGTATCGGGTCAGGGCCTGGTTCAGAGGGTATCCGGGACTTAAACCGACCCCTTTGAACCAGTTTTGAAAAAAAAATAAAACTTAAAAAAGGACTGATACTGGCCAATATGCCCTATAGTGATACTATGAACCATGCTTATTACTACTACTACTACAATTATTATTATTATTATTCAGTTGAATCACAATCAATCTAGTTGTTTTTAAAAATTATTAGTTTAATAATAAGGATTAATAAATCAATTATTTTTTTTATGATTTTATTATTTAATTGGTATTATTTTCTATTAATCATATTGACAAATGTAATAAATGCTATCAAATTTTCAAGTACAGGGCAACTACACCTATATATATCATTTTGTTTGAGATTCACTATTTAGATAGTACATTAAATTTTACCTCGTTATTTAATTAAAAAATATTAAATCAGGTTTATTTTTTAATTAATAGTTTTCTTATTTAAATAATTAGTTTTTTTTGTAATGCTGATTTAGTTTTATTTTTGGGTTTTACAAGAAAAGAAGGTTTTATTTTGGGCTTTTCTTAAGAAAAAGGATAGACAAAGTTGTATTCAGAAATAATTAATAGATTAGTCATAAAACAAAGAAACTATATTTCTAGGCTTCTAGCCTTAGAATAAACTACACTTAATTCCCTAATTAATTGAATTGAAATTGAGTACCAAGGTATGGTCCATCATAACACACGCAAAAGAAGTGGGCCGTTATTGTGTAAATCATAAATCATGTATTATTGTATATTCCATATGCAAATAAATAAATTAGTAAGCAAGTTTTCATGTGCTGAAAATTTGGATGTGGTGCGAAACGGTGTTGACAATTAAGTGGTTCATTTCAACCCGGCCCGGAAATTTCGGGCTTAGCCTGTATATATTTAAATGTATAATGTATACATATTATTTTACATTAGATTATATATTTTATATATAAATATTATAACATGACATATATAATTTATATTATATGTAATATTTTATATTATATAATATAAAATAAATTTATATGCATGTTATGCCATTTAATATAAAAATATTATAGATATGTAATGTTTTATATATGAAAGACATTGGCCCAAAATCAGGCCCAATTCAGCTTAGGCCCGTGTAGACCTGGGCTAGGGCTTATGTTTCAGGCCTGAAACTCTGGGCTGGACCAGGCCCGGGCCTAAACTATAACCCTTATCATAAGTGCAAAGCCTGGTCCGGGCCCCACCCATGATCACCCCTAGTTCACAATGTGCAAGTGATTTGGAAATTATTGAGAGTGTTGTTAGAAAAAATGGTAAATCATCATTAATTGCAACTTGAAAGTTAATCTGAAATAGAAGCTTAAATATCAAAGGAAATTGATTTTAAATGAGAAACAATAAATTGCTTTATAGCCAGAAGAAGCAAAGACCAAAAACGGCCATGTTCCAAAATTCTTTTTCCAAGATCAAAATAGGGAGACAACTACAAAGGACATAGCTTACTTCTCTACGAAACACTTCATTCCTTCTTCTCTAGGGACACTTTGTTCTCTATGAATCACTTTCATCTTTTCAGATCAGTTTGTTCTCTGCGAAACAATTGTAGCAAAGAGACAACATTTTCTATCTGCTTACCACAAGTTAATACTGACAAAAGTTTGGACTAAATCAGCTCGGTATTATATGACATATACATGCCTATATGTACTTATAATCTATGTTATAAATTTATCCTATTCAATACAATATAGAATATATTTGGTTATTTAAAATATATTTAGCTATTCTTATTGTTAAGTTTGATTAGTTCCACTGCACATTTTTCCTCATGACAAGTACAGAAGATGTTTCTAATGCACATGAAATATACATATGGGGCGCATATGAGGCACCGATATGAAGTTCTAAACTCTGTTAAGAGGACCCAATACAATGTGAGAGCAGATAACATCTTAGACCAGGGAGCGAAGAGAATGAGATCATCACAATTGGAGTCGAATGAAGAGACATCTGTGCGAGATCCATGAAAGCGCAAGGATTGAAGAAAATTGGAAAGATTGCAATTCCCCACTGAGAGGTTAAACTACGTACTACCATTTCTTTGCTTGAAACGTTCAAGATATATCATATATAGGCTCTCGAATTATCTAGTCCAAAGCCCAAACCATATCCATAGGCTCCTAAATTAGTTCATTAATTGTTCATTTCACACAACCTCATGATGAACTAAATACAAAACTTTGCTTGTATAAGAGCATTTTATAAATTTCTTTAAGTTTCTATTACATAGATGAGAGTCGCAAGATATAGTTTGCAGCTTTTATGGAAGACTGCTAAGACAAAAGAATTATATATCATAATAATACATCAACAGGCAAAGGAAAACAAATGAAAATCATGCAAAATTAAAGGGAAAAATATATAAAAAAAAAGAGAGGTAACAACTATTTTATATTTCCTCTCATGGTGTATTTTTACAACAGATTGGTAGCGAAAGAAAAAGAATCTCTTTCTGTACTAAACCTCGTTATCTCCTTTGGAAATTCAGGAACTTGATGCCATAAGCAAAGACAAAGAAGAAGAGCAGGACAAAGCCAATATGTGCTGCCACAACAGCGCCAAGGAAGTCATGCTCAAAGCCCAGGTAAGACTTCAGGAACGCCTTCACTGTGGTGAAACCCTCTCCGGGTACCTCAATACGGGAATCTTTGTCTCCAACCTGAGAGACTACAAGACCATAGAGCGTCCAAGCAATCGGAGAAGCCCAGTAGTACCATCTCCACCATATGGGAATTTGCTGAGGAGTTGAGAGGTTATGTGTCAGTATGGAATCAAAGCCTAAAAATTTCAAAGAAATTGAAGCTGTTTGTTGGTTTAATTTAAATATGGGCTGCCCACAGCATTGATAAAAGATGCTACACAAAAGTGATGTTAGACATGTAGTCAAAAACTGACTGAATCAAAGAACCATGTAATGCATGTATGGGCAAGTCCAAAAAATTGGGCATCAACATCTGAGACGCTCTGGTTTTATTATTACATCAAATGGTGGAAGAAAACTCCAGCTAGCATGTATATATCATTTACTACTAATAAAATACCATCATCATGAGTTTGAGTTTACGTACCGGTCTAGGAATGAGGAAACCAGAGAACAAGTTCCAGAAGCTGAGGAAAAAGGACATAACAATGGCAGCAATTTGGTGGCCCGGGGTCAGTGCTACCACCATCATTCCATACATTGCGAAGTAGATGAAGCACATCAATATGAAGTAATAAAACAATAAGAATTTGTCCAAATGCCACTGGAACCCAATCATCGAGTAAAGGAGAAGAGAGTAAATGAAGGTCTGTATGGCAACATAAATTGTCTCAACGGCCACCTACGGAACAAAAAAACAATTAGTGACTCATTTTCTTATATTAAACAGGAGGAACAGATTGATATTCTTCCCATTTATTTGTCATAAAATCATAAATTACAATCATATAAATGAAAAACCTTCTAGTTTTCTTCAAGGAAAATAATTCTATGATGTCAAAGAAATAATAGAGATGGTAACCGTTCTAACGGTATCCCTCCACCCAGAGTAAAGTTCATGGGTTTGAAAAGAAAAGAAATAAATAAATAAAACAAGTGATTTTACTCCATGAGATTTTAGATCTATTGCTCAACTAGTAAAGGAACTTCCTAATTCACTTTGAAAACAAAGATAAGAATCAATCTCAAAATTTTGATTTGTCCCATTTTCCCTAGCCAATAAATGTCATTGGATATTAAACACCAAATCCTCCCAACTCCAACACTCAGCAACTAGATGTATCACCAGAACTCCTACTATAGATGTTTTTATCTCTATACTCTCATAGTATTTCCATTTATACAAGCATTTTCCAATATGACCAAGACTGTTCTCTTATCTGTTCAAGATTCAGAATATCTTAGTTTGTCAACACATACGATACACCTGTTGTCTATGAAACAATCCAATCAAAGCATACAAATGACCAACCGAATAGTTTACCAAAAGAATTCAGCTGGTACAGTGCCTCAATATTTAACCCAAAAGTCTTTCAGTTGGCTTGAAGATTTGAATAATTCAGGTCAAAGATCAAGCAGTGCAGCCATGAATACAGTATATGAGATAGGATTTATTGAGTGACATGTTGTCTGGTTTAATTATCAGAAAAAAAACTAGATTGGTAATCCACTTGATATATTGGCAAGATTACCTTTAGGCTGTTCGCTAGCATCTTAATGGAACTTGTTCTACTATTGTTAGCTGACATAAAATTTTCTGTTTCTTTCCTCTTCAACAACAAGAAAAGCACAAAACTGCAAACTGAGTTATTATTACCTGAGCAAATGCATAAGGCAATTCTGAGTACATTCCTGCTGCTCTTTCACGGTAGAAAACTGTTCTCTCTATTGCCACAACAGACTGCACTGCAGAGGCATTGGTTGCTCCAAGGAAAAGAACAGCAGCATACATAGCTCCCAGAAGATTCAGCAGGTCTTGCTGTTTATCCCTGTTAGATAACAATATCCTATTAGTTTCAGAATAACTTATAAATTTTTAAAACTTTAAGCATCAAGAGTAATAGACACTATATCAAATAGAAAATAAAGAATATCACACTGCTTACGTCTTGTCTCCTTTGTTCCAAAATATGACCCCAAACATAACGCCAATGACTATTGTCATGAAAAATCGGATGGCATTGTACTGTGGGTTCCTCCAGTAAGACCAGTACTGTTTCCAAAAACAAGCCTTGCATTGAGTAGCAAATGTTTGCGAGTATTTTGTAGGGAAATGAAGATCCTTTGAACCTGGTGCTGGGGTGCTTAACTCTTTGATGAGTTCCTGATTCCTCCTGAATGTGCAAAGACAAACATGAGTGCACCAGGGAAAGAAATCAAAATTGCAAGTAGGCAGGAACTGACTACGTAATGTTATTATATTCCACTTACTGATACAGGGCAGAATTGGCATAAACTTCTGCAAAATCCACATTAAGTTGAGCCTCAAAAGAAGTAGTAGTTACTTCCAGCATCCACGTAGCAGGATTGTAACCATCTTTGATCTTGGGAACCCCTGGGACAGCCTACAAGAAGTCACAGATGTCAGAAGAAATAATTTTCTATCAAGAATCCACAAGCACATACTGCAATTTCTTAGGTTAATACTCCACATCCTTTAATTAGTTTGAACACAGCGTAATGAGTTCAATCCACTCATCCATAAATATTGAGGATAACATAATTTACAGATAATAACGTAGAGTGCCTACATTTATGTTCCATGCCCATCTGTATTGCAGTTGGTAGCAATTGAAACACTGGAAAATTTTCCCATATATGTGTTTCCAAGAAAATAGAAACTACAATTGTACCTAATTGCAAACAGGTTGAGCTACTAGAATTGATTGATACTTCTAGGTTAAAACTTGAAGAGCCCAACTATAAATCCTGGGACATTCAAATCCATGTCAATCGCTAACTATGGATTGAGATTTGATCATTTTTTTTTCCATCAAGCACACAAACAGAAAAGATCACTTACTTCAAAATATTCAATAAGATCATGAGAATGCCGACCAAGTGATCCAGCATAAATGACTTGTCCTCCTCTCTTCATCAACAGTAGCTACAAGTAGAAGGGGGAATCCAAGTTAGAAAGAACAATGCAACTGCATGGCAATCAAAGAAATGAAATTCAGAAATAACATCTATAAATTTGAGTTATACCTCATCAAAAGCTTCAAAAATGTCTATGCTTGGTTGGTGAATAGTGCAAACAACAGTTCGTCCTGTATCCACTGTATTTCTCACTGTCCGCATAACAATAGCAGCAGCTCTAGCATCAAGGCCTGATGTTGGCTCATCCATGAAGATGATTGATGGATTAGCAACCAATTCCACAGCTATTGTCAGCCTCTTTCTCTGTTCTGTTGAAAGGCCATCTACACCTGGAAGGCCGACTAGTGCGTTCCTCAATGGATTAAGCTCAACCAATTCCATAACTTCATCAACAAACATCTATATCACAACAGAAAGGATAAAAGTTAACAACATTGCTCATGCATCCCAACTTCATCTTGCCATACCTTTTTTATGGCAAGTCAAGAACATTTTACCAAGTTAGTAGGAACTAGGAAAGTACAATTTCATGATTGACAAAATTTTGAAGTGTAAAATGAGGAAGTTAAAGTAACTATTTAGAAGTGATGATGCTCTGAAGCTTTTCTGGTATCAAAGTGTGTCTGTTGAACAGATGGGTCTGTTAACTAGGCATTGACAGTAAGTCAGGGATGTCAAGAAATCTAGACAGGAAAGAACTAAGTACTTTATAATAGTAAGTAATAAATTAAATTCAAATCTGTTGACCAACCACACCCATGGATGACCCCACCATATGAATCAACAAAATCCCTCAGCCAAGTCAAAGGGTTTATTTGTTCTCCAGATGACGTACCAAGCTTCCAAACCATGAAAAACCTAATATATGGCTTCCCCAGGTAGAGGAGAATATCAAATGAATTGCCTTTTGTGGCTCCTTGTTTCTTTTCACAGTAAAACTGATAGCTTTCCCGAAAAACATCTTAAATAATTAAAAATCTTTAAAAAAAAAGGATGATGAAAAAAGATAGTTCTGAAGACCAAGTAACTTGCCTTTCGTGTTTCCTTCTTTACATCTGGAGCAAGACGCAGCCATGCTGAGTACAAAAGAGATTCATAAACAGTTACATGTGGTGAATGGATATCATTCTGTTCACAGTAGCCACTAACTCGAGCAAATGTCTCCTGGTTCTTTGGGTAACCAGAAATACTAATACTTCCTTCAATGTATCCACCAGTCTTCCTTCCTGCTAGCACATCCATCAAGGTGGTCTTTCCAGCACCACTGACACCAACTAATGCAGTCAGAATACCTGGTCTAAACGCACCACTAACATCTCTTAGCAATTGGAGACGGCTTTCTTCAATTCCTTGACTCTTCATTTCCTGATGAGTAAAGGGAAAATCTACTTAGTCTCAAATTTTTATGCTAGATTTCAGAACTAAAGTATATTATTTCCAGCAGTTTAACTTCTCAACAATATCTTAAACTGCTTCATGACATCTGGCAGTGTATAAGTTTTTGAGGTCAAGAAGTTGAGAAATTTGATGTTTACAAAATTCTCAATTTTGGTGAGTTCAATCTCTCTGTTGTATGAAAAGTTTCCATTCTCAATTGAAGGATAAACGAATTATAAATCTGACCCTGAAAAAATATGCATACTGTACTTGGTTGAAACTCATAATATTTCACTGGACTACGGATACTTAAATGTTTGGGATGGAATGGAGAATCAGTAGAGCCACATTGTAGTGCAGTTTTGGCACAAAGATTAACACTACGTGAATCCCAAACCTGTAACCCCATCTCCAAGACTTGGATACTGTCAGTTTATATTGGCAATACTGTAAGGAACTAAATTAAGAAGTGAACGACTAGGTATTTCTGTATTTGATAATAAAACTATAGTATTTGCGGGAAAGTTCTCCAGTGTATTCTAAGAACCATGAGCAGTTACTCTGATTTCCAGTGGTTCTGCTGTTCTGCATAATTCAATGTAGAACAGTAGAGAGAGAAACTCTGAAAAAAGATATTCAATATTTGGACAAGTGACTTACATCAGGCATATCAACATTGTAGTTCACATGATTGAATGCAAGTGAAAGGGGCTGGAAAGGCAACACCATTCCTCTTCTAGGTGCATGGTCTGCAACACTCTCTCGAGTATTCCTCACAACCATATCAATACCTGTGTTATATTTCGTCAATTGCTAGAACATAGAAAATGGTAAAAATGACAAAACTGAGATGAATCAGAGTTACAGGTGGGTAGTATTTCAGACCTTCAGATGTTATATTTGTAGTCCTCGATGTATGTTCCCCATTCCTCTTCTTCTGAGCATCGTCATCCAAAATTACAGCTTTAGAATCTCCAAGAGCTACAATTTAATTTTGGGAAAAAATAGTCAAATAAAAGAATTTTACTTGCACTGCACACCCTAAATATGGAGTAATGAATTGGGACTGGTGCCTTACGATTTAAATATGTCAGTGCTGCAATGAAACAAATATTGAATAGTAGAGAGAACCCGACGAGTGCCCCAATACAAATCCAAAACCAATAGTCATCTATAAACATGCCTCTGGACTTTAGAAGAACCTTTCCAACTGTGGGTTGACGAATTTGGGTGTCAGTGTTGGGCTGCATCAGATAAACAGAAAAAAAAAGTCAAATTTGATAATGGCTTCTGGGAAGACAAGACAAAAAAATTGGACAACAAAATGTATGTCTTTATGTGCATATATTTTCCTTGTTTATGCATATGAAGTTCAAAATAAGATAAGAAAACTAAAAAATCTAACCGTGCTCCATCTGTCATCAAGAAATTCATTTATTGCTATTGCATTCTGTCCATACATCATTGGAGAGACATAATAGCCCCATATCATCCATGGTTCAATGTCATCTGCAGGCATGAAAAGCAATCATTGCATACTCTGATTATCACAAGTATCTTTATACCACATGAAAGAATTGAGAATTCCATGTTAAATGCTTTATAACATCAGCAGCAATCCAGGTATCAGATTGGTAGAGGCAGAAGCAAAACCATAACAGAATTTTAAGGGGTAGGATATAAACTAACCTTTGGCAACAATGAATCCTCCAAGCACAAACACCAGCAGCAAGGTGAAGGTACCTAATGTATTTGCAACTACCTGTGTTCTTCCAACTGCTGCAATGAACCGGAAGAGAGAGAGAGCCATCTGATGTACACCAAAGAATGCCAAGAACTGTCGGAAAAACCTGAAGATTTTGGAAATGTGTCGATCAGGTAAACCATAATATGGTAACTTGGGCTTAGTGACAACTAATAAATTACTCGTAGGAAATAGGAAAATAGGAGAAAATTTACCTGCTGGCAGCAGGAGCAAACCCAATAGTGTAATATGTAAGAATGATCCATATTCCTGATTYCATCAGAGAGAGGGGAATCCTGAGGAGCCAAATTGGTAGCCCAAAAGCCCATGCAGGGTAGAATAAGTGATCTCTCTGTTTAAARAATACAGGGAGCCTGAAGACAGTCATTGCAAGCTCTGCCATTCCATTAAACATCACATTAATCAAACTGAAAAACAGTGCCCCGTAATATTTTCCTCCATCTTTTATTTGACCATGCTTCATTTCTGTCCTCAGGAACACAGTCAAGGCAATTATTGACATGATTGTTATCTGGGTAGTTTTGAAAATGTATACAAAGGAATTGCGCTTCATCAGTAACCACTCCCTTGAGAAACATGCCCTGAAAAGTTCCCAGTTGGAGATGCCGTATTTTTCTTTTACCAATGCAGCAGGATGAGCTCTGGCTTTATCATAAGGAACTCGGAGATCTAATGACAATTGTTGTCCAATTAGGAAAGAGTTGAAGGCTTGTGCAAATTCAGACACTGAAACATATCTGTATGGTTGATTCTTTCTAAACCAGTACTGCTCTTGGTCCTTCTTTGAAGTTACTTCTTGCAAAAAATCTGCAACTCCTTTCCTTTCAGGACATTTGAAACCTATAAGTTCAAAGAATTCAAGGACATTTTCACGTGGACCTTGGTAAACAATCTGACCCTCTGAAAGTAGGATAATGTCATCGAAAAGGTCATAAGTCTCAGGTGCAGGCTGCAGAAGAGATATTACCATGGTTACTTCCATAATATGAACCATCTGTCTCATGAACTTGACAATCTGAAAAGTTGTGGAACTGTCAAGTCCGGTTGATATCTCATCCATGAAAAGAGCTTTTGCTGGTCCAACCAACATCTCTCCTGAAAATTGGAGCCTCCAACAACTATTAGAATGCTGATAATCAGTTGGAAATTGTAAACACCAAGCTAAACTGAGGAAAGGAAAAATAAACTAAAAACAAAGAGAAAGAAAACATTATTCCTCCAATAAAATTTGGAAGCAATGTGCTTGTCCTTTAGAACATAAGGAACATTAGATATCATTACCATAATCATAAAACTCTGATTAACTTCATAATTTACAAGTTTGGTTGAACTTAGGTAAAGAAGTGGTAGTTATCAACTGATATAGAAAAATAAAGTTTGGAGTAAATACTGCTAAATTTCCATATGAATTGTCATGAAAATATCAGCAGCATGGTGCATGACAAAAGGAAGAGCAAGGCACATTGTAGAACACAAAAGCAAGAGATTTCAGAAAAGTTTTTATTGTGGATACCTCATATACTTCCTTGAGAGTAAGACAAGAAAACAAAGATCATTGTCAAAGGAAGAAATGTCTCCCTTAACTTGTTAGAACTGATGAGTAAAAAGTAATTGAAAATAAAGGTTTGAAGTAAAAATAAGTGTATATATATAGTAGTCGTTATAAAACAATATAAAGCAGAAACATTGGAGCTAGCTCTTGCCTGTGAAATATCCTGCACATGAATGGTTCATATAAACAAGGATAATTTGGATTTTTAACTAAACCAACAGAAAATGTGATGATTTGAAAATGATAAAACTCTAGGAATAACAAAAAAAAATCGTTATAAGCATGAGATGCAAATTCTACACTAACGGAAGAAATTCTCACCAAGTAATATAATAGAAATGATACTGGAGTTTCATATATAAATAAAAATGCTAGATATGTTTTCAAAATAACAGTGCTATTGAATAAATTTCCTTTGAAGTTCCTTTTGCAGCAATACATACCAGTAGTCACACGCTTCTTTTGTCCACCAGAGATACCCCTTCTCATATCATCACCAACGAGAATATCCGCACAGATATCCAATCCAAGTATCTGTTAGAGATTACTGGAATTCAGCCTTCACAAATATGACTCATTAAACAAGAATATAAGTGTATCAAACTGAAATGTAGGCAACAAACCTTGAGAACATAATCTGTAACCAGACTTGTTTCCTGCCCTGCCATTGCAGTTGCTTTCATGAATGCATCAATCTCAGGATCTGGTTTAATTCCTGATTCTTTCTCTCGTCTTGACAATTCTGCCAACATATCATATCTGGTTCCAACACCCAAGCAACGTCCTGAGAAATCCAAAGTCTCTCTAACTGTCATCTCGCCATAGTGAAGATCATGCTGGCTAATGTAAGCACAGGTTCTCTGAGGGACAAATTCTTTCAATTCATGACCACAATAAGTAATTTTCCCGGTTACCTGTTCACAATTCCAAGTTATCAAACAGAAGAAACAGTACAAACTGCACATGCTACATAGAAAAAGTGTCTTCTTATGTGTGTGTGTGTGTGTGGGAGGGAGGGAGGGAGAGAGAGAGAGAGAGAGAGAGAGAGAGCACACCCTCAGATCCTTATCAAGCTTCCCTGCAAGGGCTTGCAACAATGTTGTTTTTCCTGAGCCTGGAGGTCCCAGAAGCAGTGTCATCCTGGAAATAATTAAATTAATAAATAAGTAAAAATCATGTAGTTGTACAATGGAGACTACAATAAGCTACATCATAGAATAGAAATAACCAGAATTTCCTTTTCTTGTTTGTTGTGGAAAATAATCCAGTCATAATTTGTCAATTTGTAGACTTGTATATTCTTACTCTAAAGTGAGATGTTCTGGCTAGTCGAGGAATAATAACATTAAACTGAAGCTACGATAACAATTTTGTGCTTAGGGGATGCACCATCATTGATTAATGGCACAAATGAAAAAAAAAAAAAAAACCACTGCAACATTAAAACATACCTAGATGGTCTCACTATTCCACTCAAGTCTTGGAGTATGTTAACAACTCTCTTCTTCGATGGAGAAAGCCGAATAAGTCCTAGAGCTCCCTGTTGAAAATAAAAAGAAGTTAAATACAAAAATTAGAACTGTTTACCAGCAAAAGCATGGATTTTTCGGTACTTGAAGATTAACAGATAACCAAAAAGCAAAAGAGGGAGGTCATTTTGAATATCTCAAGACTGCTAAAATTTGATTAACATTAACAACTATACAATAGGAAAGACAATCCAAGGACTGCTCAAATGTCAATGATATTAACAAATTTGAAATAAGAAAAGAGACTATGAGTTTGTTGTGAAAACTGTTGTCCTTCTCAACTCTGTTAAAGCAACTATTCCTAGTCAAATTTTCCAAAGCTTTGACACATGGAATAAATTAAATGAAAAAGAAATGCAAAAGGAAGAAATGTAACATTTTTTCCAAAGCTATGACACATGCATAATTTACTAGCTAATCTTAAAAAAAAATCCTACTGTCTGACAAAATTGAATCAATAACTTGTTTTTCATATCTTTTAATTTCGATATAACAAAAACGAAACACCCATTTAAAAGAATGTCATCATTAATAAGAAATTTGATTTTCTTCTGGTATTCAAATACTTAGAGAATACTCTATGAATCAAAAGAGAACAGGAAAAAGAACAGAGAGAACGTAATAATAAGAAGAACAATAATAACTACCTCAATTGTATTTAGTGTAGAATTTATTAGAGTCGGGAGAGCCCTGGTGCCAACGTAAGCGTCACCCTCCACTGATAAATGCTCGAACCTGACTTCAATCTTCGGAATCTCAATTCCAACCCTGTTTCAACCAAAATTAAGAACAAATAAAAAAAAATCCCAAAACACTGAATCTGATAGATAGATAGATGGATAGATAGAGAGAGAGAGAGAGAGAGAGAGAGAGAGAGACCTGTCTGTCCGGTTTCTAAGCCTGAGAAGGAACTTCTCGTTATCGTCTTCAACAACCCTGAGGATGCTCTCCATGAGCTGCTTCTTGTCCTGAACACCGAGCTTGGTAACATCAACCTCATTCTGAACAACCTTTCCATTATCCAGGACCTGCCTCAGCATCCCCCTCCTCATACGATCGTACGTCGGGAGCCTCTCGATTGCAGCCCATTTCAGCTCCTCTTCATCGTCTACCTGCCTCCCACTCCGCTGAAAAGCATCCGGTGGAGTATTCAAGACCTCCCGAATGCTCGCCGAGGCCCAATTCCTCCGACTACTCCTCGACCTCGCTAGATCATCACCGACCAAGGCCGATGCCATCGTTAAGCTTTTTCCTACACTTGTTCAAGCCGTTGTTTCACAGAAAAATATCTGCCGGAAGTGCTAATCAACTACCAGAACCACCTGAAAATTTACTTTAGCTCCCAGGTATAGTCAAATAACAAGTATTTGCATCCGAGATGACAATTGTCTGACTTCACAGCGTTCGGAACCCCTGCCGGCAAGTGATCCTACCGAGATGTTATATGCGCCAACTCGTTAAAGAAAAATGAACCAGCGTATCCCTGGGGAAGCTTCAGGTCGAGAAACTCTGCTCTGTCTTTTATGATGATACAAGAATTAGAATAAAAGAATTGTTATTCTCTGAACAAAGATTCAAATCACTGCCAATTAAAACCAATGCGTAAATCACTGCCGGAAAAGTACTCCTTCCGGCAAGTGTAACTCGCTCACACAGAGCGAGCCGCCCTATATAGTCCTTCCACTATTGGACCAATACGAAGACAAGGTTTCAGAGTTTATAGGCAAAAGAAAGGACAGATTCAGAGGAGATTTTACTTGGCAACGTGTTTCTTCGCTTCTGTATTAGAAAAAAAATGAAAAGGAAAGAAAGAATTGCGGAAAGAGAGGAAATTTGGTAGAGTGTCAAAGATTTCTGCATTTAAAGGGGGAAGAGAAAGTCCAGAATTCAGTTGGTCAAATCAAGGATAGATAGTCCATTCTTTTCCCGCGGGAGCTGAAAGTGAAATCAAACTTCAAACAAATTGCTAATGCCAACTCTCCGCAGTGGCCTACCTAGTACCTGCCTCTCCGACCGCTTCGTTTCGTCTTCTCCTGTAATATTTTTCAAACCAGCCAGAGAGGCTGGTCACTTTCGCGGGTATTTCCGCATTCAATCCAGAGGTGGTTCCACCGCATAATCCTAGAACCATAGCATATATCGGCTCTCTTCCCACTACCGTTTGGCCTAATCACCACGTTTTTCATATGCTGATTATCCGAAGTCTGAACGCTTTAAGTTTAAGCTCTGCCTTATAACACGAAGTTATAAGCTGGCCTTTTACCTTATATCAGGGTCGGACCCGGACAGATCCGGCACCCAAAACGGTTTTTGCCTACCCGATTCTTAGAAATTTTTAGTCAGTTATTGCTAGGGGTGTAATCACGCTCGATCTCTTTCATGTATTTGACTCAAACTCAACTCAAATGATACTTGTTAACTATTTGAGCTCGGCTTGATTTGAGTTAAATATACATAAATTAATATTAAAAAATATAAATAAATTAGTATTACGTATATTAAAATTTTTAAAATAAAAATATATTAAAAAATATAAATAAATTAATATTATAAAATATTACAAATAAAAATAAACTATGAAAATGAATCAAACTTGCCAGCCACTTGAGCCAGGTATTGTGAATCTTGAACTCGGCTCAATCAATTACTCAACTCAAGTTGAATTTGATGCAAACTCAATTATCCAAGTTCGAATATTTAGCGAGTCAAGCCCGAATAATTCACGAATAGGCTCCGCTTGCTCAGACGCCTAGTTAGCGCAAATGCTTATTTTTTTTTTTATTACATAGCTTTAAAAAATAAATAAACAATATAGAATCATTTACTTTTTTTTATTTTTAAATTTTATTTAGGCAAATCAAACGGTCAAACTGGATAATGGACCATTCCTTATGACCAGAACAGCTTTTTTTTTTTTAATTAATCCAGTCAAAAGTCAAAACTGCTAGAAAAAACTTTGCTACTTGCAATTTGCAGCTGCCAGCTGGGAGAAAAAAAATAAGCCAACTTTGTATTTTTGTTAAATCCGGTGACTTGGGGACTTGGGGTTGGGCAATTTCAAAGGATCGATGGATCTCTTTTTTCAGAGCTTAGTCTGAAACCAAAATCAAAGATCATCATTTTCAATGACTCTTGTTACAACTTCTGCTTTGGGGAGTAACAAAGTTAATATTATTAGAAAGCCTGCTTTTTTCCTAATTTAGAAACGACTCTCAATCTCCGACCACTCCCAACAATTACTGTGTTCAGTGGTTAAATTCTCGCTATATATGCATGGCGTTCTACTCTTTTTTGCATCTCTTTACATTTTGGGTTATTAAATTTGACCACCTTCCCTAATTTAATGGAGAAAATATTGTCACTACGCAGCTTTTAGCCGAGTTTGAATCTGCTATGTTTTCCCATGTATGTGGCAGGTGTTTCATTGTAAATATGAGCTCCCCACACCCACCTCACAGCCCTTGCAGTAGAACATTTTCCTATTTGTATGTCTTTATGAATATTCATAGAGGGATGTTCACAATGCATGGTTATACGGGCTGTAAGGTGGGTGTGAGGACCACTTTTGTGCTGAGCAAATGTATTGTCTAAATCTCCTATAGTTAATGCCCACACCAATCAAAACCAACCACTTGGTGAATTTTGATGAATTTTCTTTACTTAGTGTATACCTTAATAGAAAGTGTTATAGGAGATTTACGGAATTATACATGTAAGTGAGCGGATTAGTTGAACTTTATAGTTTTTTAATGGGCTGTGGGATGAATCATTCTGCTCCACACCAGCCATAAACGCAACTACGCAAACTAGAGATTGAATGATTGTGGGCCAAATGCACTTTATGTCTAGTGTGGAGCAAAAGTGTAGCAGAGTCATGAGTTCATGACTATGAATGGTGATAAATCCAAAAAGCCAAAACTGATTATGACCCCTTGGCGAGGGCTTTAGCGCTGATTGAGCTGCATTGATTCGGCCAGTTTTAAAAAACAACCAAAAATGCTTTACCGGAATGTTGATTTCTCAGCTCATGTCAGCTTATTTTTGACTTTCCAGGTTTTTCACTGAACTTGCAACATCAGAAGCTGCTGTGTAAAAACCCTCCCTAATGGGCACTATGAGTGCCCTTATATTTAACTTTCTTGCTTCTTTCAAATCAACTCAATAGTCTCTTTGGGAAGGCTTTCTCGAGGCAGCTTTTTAGCTATATGAGGTAGGGCCCCACCTAGACAAACATATAAGTAATGTTTGGTTGGCAATTTGGCATGCCCGATCCTAAGCGTGTAATCAACCGAGCGGTGATTCGTTGATATGTTAACTGGTTCATTTCAGCATTTAACGTAGAATTGATTCTTGCATTCACCGACTTAAGGAAAAAAGAAGGTTATTAGTGATGTGTGATATCAAATACTAAAAAAAATCCTAAGCACGTCAAAATACAAACGGTTTGATTCCCTCAACTTGAGTTGAACCGATTAGAGAGACATTAGCACTTGGCAATGTCCAGTGTGCTATGGCTCCAGAGTTTCACAAGTAAATGGGTTGAGCCGGGTTTTTACCGGTAAGTGGTTCCAGAGTTGACTCCTCCAACACACCTAAACATGAGTAGGAAACTTGTGTTGGTCTTCCCGGTTGGACCGTTTGAACCCTAGCCAAATATTATTTAGTTGGACCTGTTCAAGCTTATCTTTAAGATGGGTCAACCGGTTTGAGATGAATGATGAATCCTGAGCTCAGAACTCATCCCGAGTAAGCTCAAACTCAATCAGATTTTATTAAGGTGATACTTAGTCTAACTAGGCAGCTGATTGATTCAAAACCAGCCTGACCCAGATGCGATATTTTCAAGTACCTTACTGGACGACCCGATCAGGTCAAGAATCAACCGAGAAATTAAAAAATTCAACTCAACCAATCAAATATGCATTCTAGAATTTCTATCTCGTCTTTGTTGTCTTAATTTGACTACCTAGTAATAACGGTATTGAATTTTATGAATTTGAAACCTTGACTTTAGGGCTCTGTACGGATGGGTACTTCTAGTGACTTTACCAGATTATAAGTGGCTTTTAGCCTTTTAACCCATCCCAAGAGCCCGATCTTATTCACACTTGCGCAGGACACTACAGTTGTAAGAAACATCTCATCATTAATGTTAATATGTAAATATGTGAGATATTATTAATATGGTTATAATATACTATATATAGGTTCTTGTTAGGGGTGTTCACGGATAGGGTTAGATCGGTTTGAATTATTTTATTCAACTGACCCCGACGTAATTGATTTACTAATTGATTAAATCAAAACCGACCGACCTTGAAACAAAACCAATCCAAACATGAAGGATCGTTTTGAGTCAGTTTATCGGTTTAGTCGGTTTTTTTAATATATTTTAAACTAAAATATCTATTTATATTTAAGTTTATTTTTTTTTAGTTTTTATGAAAAATCAAATGTATATTTAAATCGAATAATTTTTTATGCAAAACTGATTTTTTTTGTCAATATATATTTAAAACTGAATTAAATATTGTACCATTGTATTATATTTGTATTGGTTTTACGTTTTTAGTTTTTATCATAAATAACCAATTTTTTTCAAAGTTCAAACAAAAGACAAATAAAACATATCAACATTTAACATATAGTGTAGGGACTAATTAATAATTACTTAAATATGAAGACTATAACCAAACTGAGTTGTCAATTTATTTTCTCATACAAATCAAAACCGACCGGTGATTTTGAAAAACAGACCAACTCGGGTTGGGTCGGACCGGTTTGATCAGTTTGGTCGATTTCACATTTAATGTGAACACCCCTAGTTCTTGTGGATAGGAGATCCAAACACCATTTAGGAAGGTTTTGCATTAATTGAGTTGTGTTTGTTGGGAATTGGGGTCACAGAAACTTGGAGGAGAAGCGCTCTAAAACGTGTATGAAGACACTATCTTTAGAACGTTATTTCCCAATTCAGTTTTAATGAGTTTGTTGTTGGGTTACAGGCAAATTCGTTCTCATGATACAACAAAGCTTTGGGCGAGAATCTACAACAAGCAAAGTTGAAGAGTCTCCAAAGAAACCTTCTGTGAGATAATAGCAAATCAAACTGAAAGACAAATAGGGGCAGAAATGAACCAAGCTTTTCACGAGCTATTTGAGCTCGGCTCGACTCAAACTAAGTCAAACTTCTAGTCAAATTCGAGCTCTATACATGGCTCGTATCTTATTTGAGTTGAACTTGAATACTCCACGGCTTGGCTCAATAAGCTCGCGAGCCTAGTCTATGCTTGTAGAAAGAATGTTATAGGTGGAGATACAAATGTATGGTGGCTCCATTCACATCCTATTCTAACCTTTAACCTAAGAAAGCAATTAGAAAACCAAAGAGAAAGAGGGAAAAATCAAAAATCAATCGAAGAAGCCAAGTAACCCTTTCAATTTCAACCCTCCCTCTCCCTACGAGGCTACGACTCTGCGAGACTACGAGATGTGTGTGAGCCTGTGACCTTGCCTCAAGCTCTCTCCTTCTCAGACTCAGTTATGTTAATGCCCGGCATCGGCGGACTGACGGTACTCTCAAGTCTCAGCTCTTAGCCTCTCAGTCTTTCACAACCGACGTCCAATGACTGATGTAGCAAAGCCCAACGGTATTGTTATCTCTCAGCCTCTCACCTCTCATAGTCTCAGTCTCTCAAATTCTTCTTCTTCTTCTTCTTCTTCTTCTTCTTCTTCTTCTTCTTCTTCTTCTTCTTCTTCTTCGTGATTTTGGGTTTTTCTTTATCCTTTCTACAGCTATGAGAGTTCGAAGTTGGAAGGACTGATTGGTTCCCATCAACTACTCTGTAACCAGCCATCCAACATTCAAAGGTAACAATCAATCCCAAAACCACAAGCTTGAGTCAAGCTGTGTGTCTTCTCAGATTCTTCTACCCATTAAATAGAACCTGAACTATGTGTCTTCTACAGATTCATTAAAGCTCGAATTCGAGCTCAAGCTCGAATAAGCTCGATTCATTATTGAACTCGAGCCGAATCGAGCTCGAATATATAGTTTTTTTCAATCGAGTCGAACTCG